GGTTCAGCCTCTTGGAGCTGTTGCTGCTGCAGTTGTCCCACCCCGTGTCCTCCCCGTATCTCTCCAGCTTAGCCGGGGATTCAGCCCTCCGTCCAGTCCTGGGCTGAGCCCCACTTGGAGAAGGGTCTGGCTGGGCTGTGCTGAGCAAGGAGGGGGCCGCATCCTGCCCAGGCCTGGGTAGCACCAATGCCTCCATCTCCCCAGCCTGCCCTTCTCTTTGCCACCACCTCTGATCCCTCCTGGGGCCACCACGGCTCTGCCACCATGGGACGTCCTCTCCAGGGCATCAGCCACAAACCCATGAAGACCCCAGAGCTGTGTCACCTCTCTGTGACACTTGCTTTCCTTTGCAAAACCTGGCAGGGGTTCCCCATGCTTGCCATCCACAATTATCTCGAAAAAGTGCTGGAAAGGGAGGAAGGTGTCTTGGGGAACTTGCTGGGGGAGGGAAGAGCAGCAGCGCTGCGGTGGCATTTGCAGTCCAATTGCACCACCTAGAGGGAAGCAGGACTGGGACAAGGGACAGACTGGGGACCTCTGCCAGCCCCGGTCCCCCGAGCTGCTTGGTGGCACTGGTGGAGGTCCCGGTCCCACCCCACAGCCCAACCAAGCACCCCTGGAGTGATCTCCACCTCTGGGGGATGCTGACCCCCACGGTGGAAACCACAGAGGCTGCTGCTGTTCCAGCACGGAGACCTGGGCCACCAGGCTCCAAAGCACAGCAGGTCTCTGCAGAAGACCAAGCACCTCCACCTCTGCACGGAGAGACAGGGACACGGCCTCAACCCACTCTCATCTTCTTCTCCCTGGCCCCATCCTACCTTCCTCATGGCCTCCATCTGCGCGAGGTCCCTCCGGCGCAGCCGCACCCAGCGCCGTCGCCGGTTGGTGTGGTACATCTTCTCGGCCGGCACCCAGGCCTTGGGCTTGCGGTCCGGTGGGATGGTGATGCCATACTCCCAGCCTTGGAGAGAAGGGGACATCTGGGTGAAGGAGGGAGAAGAGCCCCCCACCTTCCCTCCCACCAGGGACCTCTCTTCACATAGGTCCAGGCTGGAACAGCTTTAATAGCAAAGGTTTGTCCAGACACAACATGCTTTCCCAGTTTGCTGGTCCACGCAGATAAGGACCTGCTCATGCTGCTACCCAGTGGAGGTGTCCCACTGGGAACGTCCAGGTGACGGACTCATGGTGTCCCACCTGCCCTTGGCTCAAAGTCACAGCCTGGGGACTCTCCTCTCTGTCCTTCCTTCCTCAGGCAACCCCAATGCTTGTGACCACCTTGGATGCTCTCTGGCCCGATGCTTTCAATCGCTCTTTCACCAGAAGACAGGTAAGATCTTCCAGAAGCACAGCCTGGCCTTTCCCCAGCAGGACGGGAAGCGCTGCCTTTGTGGCTGCCCACCCCACGGCCCCTGCCTCGGCCAGAGCAAGGGGGAGAGGGTACCCCCAGGGCCTGACCCCCCTCTCCAGTGGGGTGGCTCACACAGCCACGAAGGACACGTTATCATCCCTGGTGCTGGATGGGACCGTGGAAGGAAATGCCACGATGGGCAGAGTAAAAGCGACGAAAACAGGACGGACGCCCGAAACTGCTTTCTGATACCTTTTTCATCCACAGCTCTGTTGAGGTCCGTGTCCCACTCCACGTCTTCCCATTTCCAGCCCGGAGGACACTCAATCTCATCCTTATGCAGGACCTTCTCCCCATTCTGTGGGACACAGGGGTGTTTTCAACCAAACGGTGCCCAGCAGATGCCTAAACCTCCTGAAACAGGACGGACGCCCGAAACTGCTTTCTGATACCTTTTTCATCCACAGCTCTGTTGAGGTCCGTGTCCCACTCCACGTCTTCCCATTTCCAGCCCGGAGGACACTCAATCTCATCCTTATGCAGGACCTTCTCCCCATTCTGTGGGACACAGGGGTGTTTTCAACCAAACGGTGCCCAGCAGATGCCTAAACCTCCTGTGAGCGCCTGGGGACCTCCTGCCACTGCAGCCCGTGGTGGTGCTCAGCCCGGGCTGCCCGCTTCGCCCTTACCACATCGGTGTAGGCATCAGTCATGTGGATCCACTGGCCTCCAGGCAGCCGGACCTGGTTCTCGAACACCTCCTCCACGAAGCTCAAGTGTCCGGCGTCCACGTCGTGCAGCAACCTGCACCCCAGGGAGATGCACAGCGTCAGGGGCTCCCCCTCCTGCCCTCCCGGCCCTGCACAGGCAGCAGCACGGCCTCGTGCCCTCCCCCCTCTCATGGCCAGCCACACCACCCCAGCACACGCTTTGCCTCCTGAACCTCTTCCACCCCAGACGCACCATGCAAAGCTCCCATCAGACCTCAGCAACCCTCAGGTGAAGCCCAAACCACAGGCTGTAAGTCCAATGCAAGAAGACGGCAGAACTGTGCTGAGCATCCACCATGTCCTCCCAGCCCTCAGTGCCCCGCTGGGATCCCACCTCCAAAGCTCCTCAGCGTGGGGCTTGCACAGGGCACCCCAGTGAGCTGGGTGCTGGGGTCATCATGTCCGTGAGCACCTGTGCAGCACCGACCAGCGCAGAGACAACGCATGTTGCGTTAACGCTGTTGCCCACCAAGGACGGGGCAGGCAGACGAGGAACCCCCATGGCACCCCAGACCTCCATCCAGCTTTCCAGGTGACCTTGCCACCAGCTTAGCATCTCCTCAGGTTTTTGGGGTGCCCACAACAACCCACCCAGGCTCTGCTCTTTGCAGAAAACCATCACTCACGTCTTCTCCGGGCAGATGAACCAGTCCCCGGCCCAGGTCCAGCCCGTGGAGGGGCGGAAGCTGTCCTTGGGCAGCTTGATCTTGCCGGTGACATCTGAGTACTTGGGGTAGGTCAGGCCGGTCGTGCCCCAGTTCCCCACCAGCGCCAGTTTGGTCTGGTTCTCATACTGGGGGGGCAAAAGCAGAGAGGTTTTTGTGTTGGAGGCGCAAAATCCCACGAGCAATCCTTTTGCAATCCCATGAATAATCCCTTCCTTCCTGGAGAACCCCATCCTGAGGACAGACCTCCTGGGAAGAGGCTAACCACCTGCCACCGGCCCCTGCCCCATAGGGACCCCCAGATTTCCCCCCCAGCAGGCGGAAGGAGGTGTGAAGCCACGATGCAGCTTTACGACTCATTACCGACCTTCTGCACAGCCTTTCAGGCTGGGTGCTGGTGGAAACGGGTCTTTTTTCTTCTCGTTT